CCAGCCACAAGAAGCACAGGGCAGTGAGAAACTGTTCTGTTACTAAACAGCTCCAGAATTCAGGACATACGCAGGGGGTAAATAACTGCACAGGGCATAATATTTGGGATAATATCCAACAGATTCTAAGATGGATGCCAAAACGCTCTTTCAGTTAGAACAATCACAGGGTACACTTGATGCCTGCCCATCCTCGTAGAGGGGAAACCTCAATGCCTGAGTGTTCCTCTTATTAGAACATCCAAATTCTGTCTGGTCTTTTAGCACGGGGGAAACCCCTCCCTTTTACATTTACTTCCAGAAAAAAACCAAACACAATGTTAACCAACAACAACTACAGAAAAATCAAGGCACCCCGGAGGTGGGAGGTATTCACCTGATTCCAGATGTAGTTCTTCCACTGGAGGACACAGACCACAGTCAAGATGACTGCAAGGGCCAAGGCCAGAATGCTGGGTATCCCTGCAGCCACTCCAACCACCCAGGGCTCATACTGACTCACAAAGAAAGACGGTTAGGTCAAATGCAAACAGTGTGATCCTTTAACTCTGGTCATAGTACCTGAGCAAGTGGCTACCATACAACAGCAAGAAAAGACAATGTTGAGGAATAAAACTGCAGCCCTGGATCGAAACAGTGGCATCCAGCCAGCTGGGATGGACAAGGGAAGCAGAGATTTGATTTCAGAGGGAAAACATTCCATACGATCAATTGCATCAAATAATGAAACAAACTCTTACCCCAGAAGAACAATCTGCCTGGACAGTTGTGCTTCCAGATTTTCGTGCAAAAGTCTAGGAATAAGATGTTTATAGAACATGTACCAAAAAAAAATGTTTTATAAAAAGCAAAAAAGGAGAGAGGCTAAGTGAGCAGTTGCAAGACCCAAACCAAAAACTCTCTGACTTTTTCTAGGCATTGCAATTTATCTTAAGTAAGGGTCAGGACATGTAAAGGACACTCTGGTAATTGCTGTGATGGCTAATGGCCTGCTTCCCTCATCACCTCCTCTCTCACTGGGAGAGAACAGAAATGAAATCTAAAAGGACATTCACGCTCCCTTTGGTGGAAGGAGCAGGAAAGAAAGTTCACCTGCACTAAAGGCTTAGCAAAGTCAAGTCTACCTGGATCTGCTCATTTCTACATAAACAGGAAAACAGGCTCAAATGCAGGACTCCGGGGACTTTAAGCATCTCACCTGTCTTTACTGCTACAATATAATGTCAGCAGTATTAGGACAGTATGTCAGAAGATCCACATCAACGCTCGCCCATAAAAGCAGCAAGTTCTCTTCCAGAATCCCACCCCCCAGCTCCTACAGATAACACGATGGCGAGCAGTCAGTTCATCTTCATCCTATGCAGTGTACTTACTGAGTTGACAGTTGAGTTGTAAAACAGTGAGAAAGACGTTGTTTCCTCCTGCAGAGAAAGAAAAAAAATAAAAATGAAGAGACACAGAAGTGAGTATTAGCAACTGGGAGATGCCCCTGGCCAGGCGTGGGAGTGGGGAGGGGAGCTTCTGAAGTGACTGAAAATGATGGCATGAGAACATACTCATTTGAGCTGAACAGGGAAGTCATGCTCATTACTCCAGAGAAAACAAAACCCCTGCCATGCTATTCAAGAAAGTGATATGAGGAAACATGAACTGTTTTGCCCGAATTGTTTATACCATACAGGGTGTCAGAGTAGTCATGGCCTTATCATTTAATGCATTTACCCTGACTGCTCCCCAGTGAGAAAGGGTAAGGCTGTTTAACCCCACTATGTCTTAGGAGATGAAGTACAGTGACAGTTTCTGATTTGAGGACAGCTGAAAATGATAGAAACACATTAATTCCTTCCTGACTAAACTGTTTCCACATGTAGGAAGGGAAGTATTCAGAACTGTCCCTGCTAGATGTGTTGTCCATCTGTCGGCTGGGATTTAGAGACTCTCCCATCCGGGAGGAACACAGAAACAGGCTTGGAGGCAGCCTTCACTGCTCTTAACCTCCTTTGCTGGTGCAGCCATACTGCTTGAAGCAATACTGAGTCCATCACATGGTGAGCTCCATCCAGTCCCAGAAACATCTAGGAATTAAATAAACTGGAGTGAAAGAGCAAAACTGCTGAGGTTTCCCTGGGAAACTCCGGTGCTCTGGATGAATGCAGTTAACACACACGTCCAGTGATCAGATGGTCTGGATTTACTTCTCAGATTTACCACAGGTGCTGCCACCTCTCAGCATCAACTCTCCAACATACGGATAATGCTCCCTTTCCCCCAGCTGCTGCTGTACTTGCTCAAGCCATGGTCACCCATGGGCAGGGACCATCTCCTCTTCTATTGCCTACAGCGCTCCAGGGGCAATACCTGGCCAGCTCTTGGATGGAGCCAGCACAGGCAACCTGCCATTCACTGGGAAGGGATGTGGAAGGGAGAAAATGGGAGATTCCAAGGGGACCAACATGGGGAAGTGAAAGAACAATGACAGAAGTTAGAGAGACCGAAGACACTAATCTATTATTTCTGTTTGTATGCTGATAACAACTAACTTGGTTCTGCACTCCCCAAGCTCTGCTGTCGATCCAAGGTCCTTGGAGAGTGGTGTGTTTTCAGTGAATGTTCATGGAATTTATTCATTATTACATTTCAGAGGAGAAAGCTGTTCAGCCTCAGAGCCAGCTAGCTGCTGGGATGAAGGAGGTTTCACTCTCAGCCACCCCCACCTGGCCATTCCTAAACAGACAGTGTGAGTTTCAGCAGGTCCCATCTCCCAGGACAGGAAACCTCCTCAAGAAAGATCCACTGCGTGATCCAGGGCACAAGCCCCCTCTTTGCTCCAACTGCTCTAAGACCAGGCAATGCTTCCAGGGCAGAAAAGCTGGGTCAAATGCTAAAATCTGAGCAAGTGTCTGAAACCATTACTTTTGCCATAAAGAAATGCAGAGCTAACAAAGGGGGCAGCTTGATTCATCTAGTTGGGGCAGAGAACGGGAGGGTTAAATGGTCCCAGGGAGCTTTTCATCCAACAGCTTAGCAGTCCCTGCGGCCTCACCTCTCCTGCACTCTGACCTCCCCCTGCTACTTCCATCCCAACAAGACCCAACTGACCCGACGGGAGGTCTCCCAACTCACCATTTCTCTCTTCTCCCCTAGAATTCCCTGCAGGCTTTAACAGCGGGCTGTCTGATGCCAGGGATGGGGGCTCCTCGTAGGATGGGTTTTCTCTTCCTGCTAAAAAACGATCTGTGGACCTGCGAAGAGGAAGAGAGGGTGGCGTTTCTCTCGGGCTGACTCAGATAAGCTGGCTGGGTTTCAGCACACCTGAAAGAGCCAAGTCCCTGCCAGGGGCAGGGTCTGGCAGGTGCCCCGGAAGCCGGGATTCGGGGTTCTGGGCACTCTGCCTCTTCTCTGCCTGCCCCACGGCACAGCAAAACCGCTCCTGGCCACAAGAAGTGTGTTTAATACCTACCACAAATCAGCCTGGGGGCAATGCTGCTTTTGCTTTCTAAGGCTCACATCTCCTCTGCCAGGGCACCTTTGCTGGAAAGGCCAGGACAAAGCAGAGGAATTCCTGCTTTTGCTTTCTAAGGCTCGCACCTCCTCTGCCAGGGAGAGGCCTTTCGCTGGAAAGGCCAGGACAAAGCAGAGGAATTCTGCTGGCTCGATGCTGAGACCAATGAGCCTCTCCGGTCCGAGGCATCCTTCTCTGAAGCGTGCTGTACCACTGGGTACACTTGAAAAAGATGAAGAACCTCCTGGCAGACAACGGATGGTCCCTCCAGCTTCTCACACGCGGTGACTGGACGGTCCCTGGGTGCTCCCTGGAAAATGAAGTCCTGTTTCTAGAAATAAGCAGAGAAAATGAGGACTGGCCACGTCACACAGTGCTGGCGGCAGGCAGTCAGTGTGGAAAGAGACGTTAAGGGGACATGGCAGTTGAACAGCAGGGAAGATATAAGCCTGCCAAAGATCTTTACACCTACAACAAGGAGATCACGCACACAGTAAGAACCAATCTCACTACAATCACAAACGTCTGTGTGTTTCTCTAAGAGCTGTAACTCCAGTTCATATTCCACCTTCTATTGTACCTCCCCTTTCCCACCAGCTTCACAAGGGCTGCATCATCTCTAGTATTTCAACTCTGCTTTGGACTCAAACTCCCTGCGTGACTGAAGGCTTCTCGTCCTCATTTTGGAAATGATGTCCAAGTGGTGACTTGACTGCCAGCCTCCAGGCTCACTCCAGCCATGATACACCAGTGCAGGAGGCTAGCAGGGTAGACATCAAGTAGGGGACAGAAAGAAGAAGAAAAGCATTCAAGGTTCTGCCTTAGCTACTGGACATTTTGCCACCACAGTGAGAGTGTGAACCACAACTTTGCAGTAAGGAACTTCTCCCTCATGCTCGTCCTGGTGTACTTTGCAGAGGAGTTTCACGTCCAAGGGTCTTTGGGACCTGCTGCTGAAGGCCAAACCCTGTAGTGCAGTAAATGAGCCTCCTCTTTTGAAGTCTACTTATGGACTAATTCCCAGATCCCTAATGTTTATCTCTGCAGATCTGCACCCCAGCCCACCAAAGCATGAGCGCAGAACATGAAAAACCATGACGTACTCCTTTGGCTGATCAACTTGTTCCTCTGCCCCACTTCCTAAATACCCTCTTGATTGCAAAAGCCAAGACAAAGCTGAAGGCTCAAGGGAAAGTCGCTTCCTGCAGAGAGTAAATCCCACCCGCTGTTAGCAGTAGACACAAACAACAGTTGGCAGGACGTGGAATGTATTAAGAAATTTCCTCCCCTCGAGGAAGCCTTAAATGCATGATACAACAGAATGTGCAACTGAATTCACAGTCTTTAATGAATGCTGAGACTCATTCTTGGCACGGGTACATTTGTGATTGCCCCCACACCCTCCTCTCCTCCCCCTCTTAAAAACTTATTTTAGTTAGCCAAATGTAAAACCACACAAAGACCAGAAATACGTATACACACCTCAGAGGGTCTGACATTATTTTTTTTCTTTTTTCTTAAGAAACTTTCACACATTTAGAATTATTGACTGTTAAGCCCAGTCAGTACAGCAGAAATATTCTACACAGATCACTGATTGAAACGCACAGTACAACAGTTGTGAGCACACTGTCACAAGAGACACCTGCATGAAAGCTGACAAGCGCAGTAGATCTGTCAAACCACATCGCAAGCATCTGCAGCCAACCAGTCTGGGGAAAATGGGGAATTACCAGAACGTGGAACAAGAGATGGCAAAGCACATGGAAAGTTCCTACAGTCACTTCTCTCCAGAGCCATTGCTCTCATTAGAGAGCCAGGAAACCTGAACCGCTGCTCGCCCCCTGAAACTTTTCTTCTGTTTCACAGGGATCGGTGTCACGCTTTTATTTCCAGACCTGAGTCACTGCGATTTTGGGTGAGTGGGGGCAAGGAAGAGAAGGACAAAAGCAGACCCCCATCTAGCAGAGCTCATTGCCCCAGACCTGCATGGTCAAACTGCTTGAGATGAGAGGTCTTGCCCGTTAAAAGGCCACAAAATTTGAAAACAGGAACAAAAAAGAGCTAGAAAAAAAAACCCAAACAGAAATAACATGGTTTTATACAGCCTGCAATAAAGCTATAGTCAATGGTACAGTATTATTCACATGACACTTATTAAGGCTTTGACTACTGGTCTTCTACATGCACATTTTATATACATATAATCTTGTGTGTGTGTGTGTATAAATTACTTTATTTTTCTTGTTCTAAGCAAGAAAATATTTTCATGCATTTGCTTCTCCTAGTATTCACAATACTTGGACCATATTCTGTTCAAGGACTTCTGGAGAGGGCTGGGTCTATTTATTATCCATCTGGGAATGCCCTCATCTCCAGGAATGTCGTTTGTGCCTGACAGTGGCGCTGGCCCCACACTTCTCCGCAGTCATACACCAGAGAGGAGGTGTCACCCCGGAGCCTGACAGTACATTAGTTATGTAAACATAGTAATCCTTGGATTATAAATACTTTATTAAAGCTAACATACCTCAGCTTTTAGCTCAAAATGGCCCATGAGTGCCTTAATGAAATATCATTCAGAATAAAGTCTTTTTTTTTTTTTTCTTCTTTTTCTTTTTCTTCCATATCAACAGCTCAATTACAGTGGATCCCCCCAAAAAGCAAAGTTTTTCCCTACTTTTTTCCCCAAAAGAAGTGCCAAGCTACCTGTTAATTCTGCAAGTCCACAGCTCGGTAGCTTCCATGTACATAAATAACCGCAACACAGAGCATGTCTGAGCTTTATAGCTCAAAGTGCTTAAGTCACCATCTCGCTCGCAGCCCTGCCATGAAGTTAAGAGACTGGGCCAGTAAGGAACGGGGAAGAAGTAGACACCAGCAGAGCTCTCCCTGTTCCTAGTCCCATGCCTGGAGCTTGCACATGTTTGACAGGTTCCCAGAGCTCACCAGAGATGGCCTGTAGAGTGGACCGTGTTCCTGCACCTTGGAGACACCTGACTATCACTGGCCCGGGGTTTGCTTCGTTGAGATGCCTCAGCTAGTTGATGTTGTAGAGCACTCCTAGGTTGTGGTGGGGAGGAGAGCAGCTCGGCTGTGAAAAGGAAGGGCTCACGTGGAAGTGGTACCAAGGAAAGGAAGCAGCGCAAAGAAGGCAGAGAAAGCAAACACGGGTGGAGTGAGGAGGAGAGATTCCTTACTTAAGGTAAGGACTGCCACAGCAGTCATGCCTTGAATGCCACCACAGCACTTCCTTATCAGCCACCACCTTTCCCCTGGCCACCACATCAAAGTACTTTCCAGTCAACATATAACATTGTCATTCCATGACAATTACTGCAAATCAGGTGCTGGGCCCTTCTTGTCACGGTGATCCAAGCAGCTGGCAGCCCTAACGAGACTGTCCCTGTGCCCCTGCCTACCTTTCATCCCCCAATAACCAAGACAATAAATAGATGGGACAGAAGGAATGATGGAGTCCCAGCCATCTGGTTGTTCACTTATTGCACAGAGTATTTTGGGCTGGTAGGGGAGAGCGGGTGGCTCCCAAGGTCCTTTGAGAAAATCCTACTGGGGGCGCCGTCCACATCATCTGCTCCAGAAAATGTGTTCAAGACAGCTCATGTGTACAGGATGCTTAGGAAACGTCACCTAGAAACGGGATATGCAAGAGATGAAGGCTTTTCTCAATTCAATATCAGTCTTCACTCCGCCCCATGGCAAGCTGTGCAAAATACAATGTTTATGCCCTGGCAGGTACGATTAGAAGACAATATTTGGTCCTGGGTATGTTAACAAGAAAGGGTCATGCTAATAATTTCAGAGGCAAACCTTTGAAACTGGATTTAGTTTTAGTTACAGAAAACACTGCACACTGCTTTTGGCCAGGTGCACAGAAGCTTAAAAAAAAAAAAAAAAAAGGACAAAGATCACAGCTAAATGTCTCAATCTTCAGACGGAAATGTCTGTGAGGAGCAGCCAAACTATTTTCTCATGTGCAATGCATCCTGAAATTTGGTACTTATGTATCGGGCGTGAAAGCCTTTCTTGTTGATGGTGTCGTCTGTGTGGAATCGGATCATGATGGAATCCCCTGCAGAGTAGATTTCTTCCAGAGGCTGCAGAAAAGTAAAGAAGACAGCACAGAGTGGTCAAGTCTGCAGGCTAAATAACTGTCTGCGCTATGATGCTGGAATTCAATCTCTCAGAATGGGCCAGGGAACACAGACACGGAGCGCTCAGTACCTCCTGCCCTGCTCTGACTTCTTGAGCACGTTCCCTTGCTCTTTGCATCCTTGCCTTTTATGTTGGAAGACTGGTGCCAGCCCACTTTGCAATCCCAGTTCTTCCACTTGTTTTTTGTAGGTCACAGTCACAGGACACCCTGGATGTTCTTGTTCCAGTCTTCTGAGTTTTCTCTAATTTGTCCTAATCTTTTCAGGAAATGACACAGTCCAAACCAGCCCCTGTTTGGCAGCTGAGGCCCTCGCAGGGTTCATTAGCAGCAAAATAACCACGTATCTTATTTGATAACTCTGGTTATCTTCCCTGCTGCTGTGACCTGCTACAACCTCCCTGTGCTTCTCTGCAGGACCAACACATTCCCAGCCATTCTCCATTTGACAGCGTGCGGGTAGGTAAAATACTACCCTGCTGCCATGAACTTCTTCACACCAAGTTGCTATGCTTTTTTAAACTGAAAGAAGGGAGATTTAGATTAGATTTTAGGAAGAAATTCTTTCCTGTGAGGGTGGTGAGACACTGGAACAGGTTGCCCAGAGAAGCTGTGGCTGCCCCATCCCTGGAGGTGGTCAAGGGCAGGCTCGATGGGGCTTTGAGCAACCTGGTCTGGTGGGAGGTGTCCCTGCCCAGGGCAGGGGGGTTGGAACTGGATGATCTTTAAGGTCCCTTCCAACCCAAACCATTCTATGATTCTATTTTCTAGACCATTTCCCCAGTTTTCAAGGACTGCTCTGACACACCAGCTCCTTGGATGTCTCACTTTAAATGCAATAAGAACCTTCTCCATTTTATTATCGGAGTCCTGGAGAAATTAAACCTGGAACCTCTAGTTTTAATCACACTAACAGAGTCAATCCTCTTAATGGGGACATAGGTAACAGTTTAAGATACAGCCTGGAGTCAACAAGCAGCTCTGCAAGTCCCTCCACCCTTTGCCCTCACCATAGCATGGCCACAATGTGACTTGGCTTCAGGCAGGAGTTGACTGAGGATGAAATTGGACTTTGGAAGCTGTTTCCAATGTTTACATGACACTTTTTGTTGCCACACATGGACCTAGGGCTAACAAGGGGAAGTCAGTCAAGCAAGGCTTTTAGACAACTCTCTGCATCAGAAAAAAATGGCTGTGATCCCTAGGAATAGAAGAAGAAACAAAATCCAGACACACCAAGCATTCTCATCAACAGTTGGTGAGAGCTGCCCCTCTCCAAAAAGGGTATGAGAGCACCCTCTTCCTCGCCACCTCCAGTTATGGCTATGAAATCCCCACCACCAGGGCTTACCCCTGAGCCACAGAAGCGTCCCAGGCGGGGTGCGGTGCTGTCGTAGCCATCATAAATCTCCATGTAGTCGTACCCACAGTCGGCCTCCTCCTCAATCTCAAACGTCTGGAATATCAGCTCCACCCCGTAACCATCCTCAGCCACAATCACCCACTCACAGTTCGCTTGGCCTGGGTAGTTGTTGTCCCCAAACTGAGCATGAGAATACAGCTCCTTAGTTCGTACTTCAGCCTTTAAGAGCCCACCACACTCTGGAGGAAGAAAAGAGCACAAAACACAGCCTCACCAAAGGCTCTACCTCACAACAAAGACTCGCCATCCCAATTTTGGGCCAGCTGTAGGGAGAGAAGACTTCCAGCATCTACAAAAGAAGTGAGTAGGAATGTCTGACATCAAGAGACCTCTGAGCTGATAAGGAAGTGGGAATTCATGGTCTGGTGCCAATAATGGTCTGGGAACTGGTTAAGCACAATTTACAACCACTTAATATTCAGGTTAAGCTTATTTGGGAGAAAAGTGTGTCTCGTTTTGCCCTGGTAAACAACACAGTGAGATTTGATGACATCGCACTGGGGTATTGTCAGACAACCAGATTACCTGTGCTGTGCTTTGCCTGGAAACCTTTTCTTTGCACAGAAGCATCAGAGTAAAACCTGAGGAACATCTTGTTGGTAGAAGCCACTACAGGGTCTGGTTTTTTGCTGCCACAGAAGCGGCCAAGGACAGGTGACTTGCTGTTGGGCCCATCATACATTTCCAAGTGGTCATAGGCACACTCTTGGTGCTGCTCAATCTCAAACTCATTGAAGGTCTGCAGCAAGAAGAAGGAGAATTAAGACAGATACTTGTAAATCTGAGCATGCAATTCAGCGGAGAATGAAATGCCAAGTGAGAAACAGGTCAGATGGTATGCCTGTCCCACTCCTCCCACAAACGAATACAGAATAGTGTGCTTTCAAGACAAGAGTGATCTCATGTGGTGAATCTCAGAAGTTCATACGAATGTGCTGTGCAGCCTTAGCTTTGTTGCCTCACATGGGTGCACAACAATGGTTTTCAACTGCAAGCCCTATATACTACTGGGAACCCAGCCTAGCACCCAGCCCTGCCACCACCTTAAGCAGAGATAGTCCCAACAGAGTAGCTCACAAGGAGAGGTAGGGGTGGGAGGGCATGTTACACCTTCTGTAAACTGAGTGAGCAATGCTCCACAGTTGTCATCTGCTGGAATCTCCTCTCAGCTGCTTCACACCTGCTTCATGCTGCTGTGAGACCTTCTGCAGGTCAGGGCAGCATCCTGGGATGCTCTCCACCAAGCACCTCACTTAGGACCTATGGGGATCAACCTCCCGCTCACACAGTGGCGGGGGAAAGTCACTTTGGTTCCTCACAATCCATCCCATTTCTCCCCTCCCACTTCCGCTCACTGGTTACTCACTACTTTCACTCGGTGGCCAGGTGTCGCAGAGATGTCCCAGGTGCACTCTTTCCTGCTGGGATACTTGTCAGGCCAGTTTGGGCTGCTCATCATTCCCTCTGCAGCACTCAGCTTGTGCTCACAACCAGCTTGAGAGAGAGAGAGAGATCACAAGATGAAGGCATCGAGGCAGGCCTCACACGGGAACCATGTCATGTCCTACACGCTCCTTTGCCCACTGAAATCCTCAACAGTGCAGAAACAGGGAAGGCTTCAGTCACTGAGCAAGACCTTTTACTATCACTGCATAGTTCTGCTGGGTTTGTGCTATATTTTTTTGAGCTAACTCAGCAGCTGGTGAAAAGGACCATCTCATTCCTCTGGGCCTTATTATCCCCATCCACCTCCTCACTCCCAAATATATTCTCCTGCTCCTCCAACTCATAGGTAGGAGTGTGGGGAGAAAGGTAACTTTGGCAGCAGCAAGTGGTTAGATCACCTCATCTGACTCAAACCCAATAATTAAATGAAGCAGCAGTGACAAGTCTAATGGTGATGTCCCACAACTTCTCCTTTCTCTAGCCCAGCTTCTTGCCCCACCCTGTCCATCCCCATGGCCATATAGAGGACCAGACTGGGGAATGGATCCAGCTGAAAACAAGCCTTCTTCTTCCTTCTTATAGGTAGTTTTTCAGCTGGCTGGGGCTTTTTCAGTGCCCCAGCCTACTATGCTGTACAAACACTGAGCAGGAAGCATCCTGGCTCAAACCAGGTTTGAGGCACCTTGTTTTTCCTGAGGACAAGGAGCAGGAACCCTACCTTCTTTACAATCGTGGCCGTTTTCATGCAGCATGAAGCCATTTCTGCACTGGCATACGTAGCTCCCAAAGGTGTTGATACATTCGTGCTGGCAACCACCATTGTCTTTGGAGCATTCATCCTTGTCTGGGCAGGATCAAACCAACAAATACCAAATTGACACAGTGAGAAACAGACTACCAGAGTTGCCAGCTGGGACTCCCATGTCCATACTGGCAGATACCAGTACAAACCTCCAACCTCTGCTGCTGGATTAGTCCAGTCAGCTTTTTAGCCCAGATACGATTCTTCTCAATTGCCTTTCATCCCATAAAATGCATCACATATATGTTTTATTATATGAAGTAGGTTTTGAGCAGTTAAAGACTCCTATCTAAAAGAAACCTATAGCAACGTCTCATTCTTTTAGAATAAGGTCCAGGAAAAGTATCATACAAATTCACTAGCCCAGGCAAAAATCCAGTGGCCAGTCTTTATATTTTCAAGTTTCTACATGCTCTGACGAGCCTCCATCATTAGAAAGCTCTGTCCAAGAGCACAAGCAGCCAGATGGAAACCAAGACAAAAGGTGACACAGCACAGAGCAACCATGCTTTTTAGACGTAACTAAACATGTCGGGCTCTGCCTGATTTGATTGGAGGTTGAAGAAAACTCACCAAGAGGCTCAGTCAGAAGAGGCAGCTAAGCAAGTGAAAGAGTACAGCCACGTACCAGAGAAGTAGTGAACTTTAAAGCCTTTCTTGGAGACCGTGTTGTCTGATTTGAACTCCAGTCTCATGTTGTTGCTATATGACGTGATTACTTCAGGCTTTTCTGAGCCACAGAATTTGCCGTGCAGCTTGGAGTCAGAAGCCAACCCACTACGAACCTCAACATAGTCATATTTACAGACCTGCCAAGAGAGGAGGAGATTTCTCAGCTCCATGGACTTGGGACAGAGCATTTCAGAGGAAGGGGACAAAGACTTGACTGAGAGGAAACAGAAACAACCTTATACTCAAACCTATCTCTAACTTCCCTGAATTTTTCTCTGTCAGTGTTCCCACCCCCTTCCCTTGCTGCCCTGGTCTTAAAGCATGGGTGTGTTTACCAGAACAGCAAAGGTTCCATTTTAATTCAGCTAAAATAATTGCTTCCACTTTATCCACAGTGTTGAATGAACTTCAGGAACCTGCTGAATTATGGAAGAGCTACTGCTCCCATTTACAGTGGGGGAAAGCGAGACCTGAATGCTTTGTTCAAATTCCACCCTGACCTTAGCAGGGCAGAGAACAGACTCTTTTACTGGTTATTTTGTTTATCCTTGAAGAACTGTACTCATTGTTCATTTCCAATTATTTTCCTGCAAAGGCAGCTCTGGGGAAGGGGGGGATGGGATATTTATTAGGGATGGAAAACACCTATAATTACACAAAACTGGCAGAGCAAAAAAGCCCATTTATAACAGAACAGCTTTAATCCTTTCACTTCATAGAGAAAGCAGATCCAGACCTCGGGGAGAACAATCACTGTTATTGGCTCATTATATCAAGAGTGGGGACACAACCAGAAGCTCCACCAGTAAGACAGAGTCTCCTCTTCCTTGTACCCCAAGGATTCATCCAGTTCTGAGTTAGCCAACAGTCACACCTCTGAGATGCAGGGACTGGTTACGTACATCATTGCCTTCCAGCTCAAACACTTCGAACTGCAGAGAGATCCGGTACTGGGCTGGAGCTACCACCTGCCAGACGCAGTTTTTGTTAGTAGGATATTCCTTGGGCCATCCAGGGCTAGTAATAGTCCCATTGAGCTTGGTGATGAAGCCCCCACAGGCAGCTGGAGAGGCAATAAATGAACACAAGTTTTACTTGGTTCTGTTCAGACACACAGACCGGGCCACACTGATAGCTAGGAAATTAATTAGATCCTGGTTGGTGACAAATTTCAGATCCCAGCCTCCAGAAGAGAGGTTTAAAATGCTGAGAGCTGTAAAGAAGATAAACCTTGTCCACTATAAGCCACCAGTGAAACACACAGAGCCAGGCTGTGGCCCTCAGTGCCACGTAAACCATGCCAGATTGATCTCCTTACTCTGTAGCCTTGGGCTTACCATGGCTCAGTTGACTTGACACATGCAATACAGCTGGAAAGGCCAGCATGATAAATTCACCCACAATCAGTCCTACAAACCTTACTACTTCAAGTTCATTAGGAATGGAATAATTAGAAGACAATGGAATCCTAGGGAAGACACCACTGTCACCTCTTCAGTGGCTTATTATATGTCAACTGAGGGGTAATGGTTTTTAAGCTGAAACAGGGGAGATTTATATTAGATATTAAGAAGAAATTCTTTCCTGTGAGGGTGGTGAAACACTGGAACAGGCTGCCCAGAGAAGCTGTGGATGCTCCATCCCTGGAGGGGTTCAAAGCCAGCCTGGATGGGGCTTTGAGCAACCTGGTCTGGTGGGAGGTGTCCCTGCCCCTGGCAGGGGATTTGGAACTCTTTAAGGAAATCTTTGGAAATCTTTAAGGTCCCTTCCAGCCCAAACCATTCTATGATTCTATGACTGCGTCTTCTCTAGGGAAAATTGAAGACAAAGCCAAAATCTTGGCCTTATTATCCAATTTCATTTAAAAATTTCAGCTTCATCCTTTTGTGGGAAGATATAGCTTTTACCTCAAGGCAATCAACCTCAGTTTGCTCTTTTGCTGCAAAAGTCTAATTGCAACAAAGCTATTGTTGCTTTGGAGTAACAAGATACAACCAGATCCTCAAAACCCACAAGGGTAAAAGCTTCCTGTGCCTTGTTCCCAGCATCATTTTGCATTAAGAGAACTAAGCCAAGGGAGTAGCTTCAATACAAAAAGTGTAGCAAGTGCATCTGGAGAAACCAAAGCAATTTACTCCACTAATGAAGTTCAAAATACAAGGTTGAGAACGAAGTCCAAAAATTCTTACCAAGTTATATCATCTGGCTTGCTCAAAATTGCAAGAAATCATTTATGCTTGCCAAGTTATATCAGCTGGCTTGCTCAAAATTGCAAGAAATCATTTTAAAAAAACCCAACAAAATAAAGCTTCCAAAAGCCTTTTGCACGCACCCAACTGTGCCCTCACCAAGTTGACAGCAGCCTTCCCCAAACAGTTGGACAAAAGCAGAAGTCAGGGCAAACACAGGTGACTTTGAGAGCACCACTCACAGCATGTGGAGCTCCCTACACATCTCCACTGAAAGGCAGAGCTATGAGACAAGAACAAAGGGCGGATTCTCACCACACCAGCAGCTGTATTGTTGGTGGGAGCAAACGCTTGTTGCAAGAGGTTAACTGTATAAATAGAGAGCTGAAAGAAACAGTTTATATCAAAGACATGGGTGGTTTTTTCCCCATAACAGAAGAAGGGAATTGACTTCTCAATATGGAGAATGTTTGGTTTTCATGCAAGCAAAACACTGATATTTTATTCTACAAAAGATTTTTTTTTTAAAAAAGATATAATAATTTCAGCCTTAGATTGAAATACTTTTGGGGCACTCAATGGTTAGGTTGTAATGCCTTCCCCTTCCTTATGCTGCACTGTGGGAGACCTGGTCTGAACAGGGATCTCTGGTCATGAAGAACAACTGGGTTTAGAGAGGTTTAGCAGTAGAGAATGGGAGAAATGTCAGGCTTCCAACCAAAACTTGTTTTTCAATGGAAGATGTTGACAAAAAGAAATTGTTCAGGTGGGATAAGATAAACAGAAACAAAGATGATGCAGGAGCAAGGAACATAATCTCCAAGGTTGTTCAAATTTCATTATTAGCTGTAGTACCCATCCTATAGACAGATGCCTCAATTTGTAGGTCACTCACCTTCACAGCTCTTTTTATCAGCTGTCAACTCATAGCCGGGCTCACAGGTGCATTTGTAACTGCCCAGTGTGTTCTCACAGTGCTGCTCACACCCACCATTGTCCGGCAGAGAACATTCATCCATCTCTGTCAGGAGAAAACCAGGACAAGTTATGCTTTCCTGAACACTCAAACCCCATCCTATTCCTCATGCAACACTTCTGGACAAGCCGAGTTCACGGAGCACTGCAGCAAACCTCACAAGACTCTATTTTCTGGTTTCTGTTTGTGGATTCCCTATGAAGAAATTAGAGCATTTCTTTGCTGCTTCATTCTTGGGTACAGGTTCAGTAGCTTCTAATCTGGCTGTTAAATTACTTGCTTGAGAGAAAAAGAGAGGTTGCAACTCCTATGATTGCCAAACCGCCCGTGATCAGTCTCTACCACAGGAGGGACACATCCTGGCTATGGACAGGTATATCTTGCCAAGTGTTGTCTTTCATCTAACATTTGCCATGAAGAGGAAAGGCACAACAATATGAGTGTAAGACAAGCACATCACTACTAACACTTCAACCATACACAAAAGGGCTTCAGTGATACAAACAATTTGTTACAAAAATGAAGGTAAGTAATTAAGAATAATCCTAGAGTTTTCTCTTCAGATACACATGATGGGACAGGCATGAGGTAATTGCTCTTCATATCTTCCTGACATTGTCTCTTGGATGCGACCAATGACGTTTTGTCAATGACGTTTGGACCAATGCAAGTTTATTTTCTCTAAAAAGTTAGAAGTTACCACTGCAAGTTCTCACATAACATTCAATCTCATCCTTAACTCTGTTTTTTTTTTTATTTAAGCTGAGCTCTTTTCTTTCAATGTTGTAAGACATGTAATTGAAGCTCTATTCCTTTCATAATTCATGAAAGCAAAGCTGACCAGTTGCTCATTCAGCTCTGGGTGGCAGATTGAAGAGTGCCCGCAGAGCCATCTAAGAGTGCCACCAGAGCCATCTGGTTCTTTTGCTTTGTTCGTAGCATTGCTGGTAGTCACAATCCTTCTGGATATGGAAGCATGGAAGTAGAGGCTGCAGACTTCAAATCCCAGTTTGAAATTCCACATGTAACCTCCAGGTATGTCTACCCAGTGTTTGCAAATTGACATCAGCCCTGCCCACAGTGCAAGCCAGCTAGAAGTTGTGTAGCTATATGGCTACTGTGGTTCTTGGTCCACGCAAATACACTTTGCTCCTCAGCTGAACTTATTGGCATGGATTTAGCAACACTCTTAAAGATCCACATACTACATGATTTCCAGAAAACTTGTCCAGAGAAGCTGTGGCTGCCCCATCCCAGAACTTCTTGCCCAGAGAAGCTGTGGCTGCCCCATCCCTGGAGGTGTTCAAGGCCAGGCTGGATGGGGCTTTGAGCAACCTGGTCTGGTGGGAGATGTCCCTGCCCATGGCAGGGGGTTAGAACTCAATGATCTTTAAGGTCCCTTCCAAGCCAAACCGTTCTATGATTCTATGGTTCAAACATGTGAAGTCTGAGCAGACACTGCAAAGTCTGCCAGCTAAAACTCCACAGACAATGCCTGTGTCTGCAATCGCATTAGCAGTGCATGTTTATGCATTTTTTACATAAAAAAGAAAGAAATTTATTTCTGGCTATCTGTATCACAAGGAAAGCATCCCAGGTTCAAGTGGGCAACTTTCTTTTCCTACAAACTTGCAACAGAACCTCAGATTCTATAAACTGACTTGCCACAGGCCAAGAAGTCTCCGTTTAGTGCTAATCCCTGGAAAACATCTCTGCCACAGTCAGCCTGCACTATCAGCTCCTGAAAGTAGCCAAAACTTTTTTAGGAAGAAGTATTCTCAGTGTCTTTGTGGAACCTGAGAAATTTAAACGAGGAAGTCTAGACACTGCGAGAGTTGTTCAGGGACTGGAATTAAACATCACAGTATTTGCCAGCGATCTTGAAATCACCCTTTGTCACAGTCCATTTGGATCTCTCAAATTTACAGGACAACATACTCCGTGAACTAAACTTTATTTAACTAATTGTTTTTATTTGCACGTAAGTGCACGGATTAAGAATTGTGGGTTATAAGTTATGAAACCTTATGACTTCAATGCTGAATAAGTGAATTCATGTGATAGACTAGTCTGAGCGAAGGGGACTGAACCCTGCCGTGTTTGTTTGTTGTATTTCTTAATGAGCTCATGAAAAAAGAGTTTAATTCACAGAGCACATTGTCCTGTAAATTTGAGAGATCCAAATGGACCATGACACTCTTAATGCACGACAAAAGTTAAATTAGAAATAAATAAAGGTCTTACGCAACCCAAATATTGGCATTGCAGCTATTATTTCTGAACAACTGTTCCCAAACCCAAAAGAAACACGACCCCACAGCAGCTCCACAGGTATGTTAGATATTTGGTTCTTGCCTCTATCAAGTCACCAGGATGCTGGTAAAGGACCATGGCTTGGGTCTTCTTTTAACAAGAATTCTTAGTCTTCATTCACATCTTCCTGAAGAGGATCTCAGTTTAAGAATACATTTGTCTCCTAAAGCACTCTGAAATTTTCCCTGGGATTCTACTTGCAATCAAATTTACCCTCTCTCCACAAGCTTCTTTTGGAATAGAACTTAAGGAGAGAGTTGTTTTTAACACTCTGTGCGTTACTAGTACCTTCTTTGAAAATGTCAGTGTCCCCTGGTCCGGATAAATGGGGGTCACATTCTGTCCAGCTCTGTTAGTGCCTCTGCTGGTACTGACCCATAAATGAAAGGCTAATGTTTACTGAGGTGGGCTTTCTGTCTTAACCAGTGAGGTGGTGGTCATGCCTTAGCATCAAACCCCTCCACACTCTCAAAGCAATTTGCATATAAACTCGATATTGGCAGTTGTACAGACAAGTCTAACAGCTCTTAACTACGAGCAGAAACAGTGGTAACTGATCACTTTGGGATGGCAGTAGGTTAAGGAACGAGTGATCCCCAACTTTGACCTTGACAGCTACTACATCACATACCTTTAAAGAAATTTGCTGCAAAGCCCGCTTTATTGATGGTTGCATCAGATGCAAACTTCATCCATACTTTATTTGAGCTGGATTTGATATCTTCTGGCTTCTCGTAGCCACAGAAGTGACCGATCAGTGGGCTGTATTCAGTGAGGCCATCTCGGATCTCCAGGTAGTCATAAGAACATGCATCATGCCATTCAATCTGCAATGGGAAACGGGTCGTCTGCCTGTAGCTCACTAGCATGAGTGCTCGGAGTCAGTCTAGCTACCCAGTTAGACTTTGGCCAGAGATCAGCTTCCAAAGGAGCATCCCAAACAACTGGTCACAACTAGGTACCTGCCACTGAACTCTCCTGCAGCTGAAACTGCATCAAGCCTGGGTACATATCAGTTTTACTGCTATTTCATGGCTACCCTCCAGTGAAACCCAGTCCTGAACTATCTGCAAGCTGCTCTTCCATGAGAAACTAAGTGATGGTACAGATCAACTACAAATAAAAAGGAACAGTCATGGAGTGACAGCCTGGAGGCAATGGTGTCATCCCCTTCCAGGTCAAGCACAGTAAGAGGGAACAAGCTGCAGGAAGCTAAGGGCTAGATGGGATTTTATGCACCAGCCCAGGTTCTGTCCGCTCCTGTCTGTGACTTCTTAATCAGTACTCAGAAATACACAATTGGGCACCTAAGGGTGTAAGACATTCTGTAATAAATAAGAGAAAACCTGTTCTGAGCTCTTCAAAGCCTGTCTGCCACCTGGGAACATGATGTTTATTCAGAGAATCACAAACATCTTGAAGTCCGTCAGGAACCCAGTGACACTAACAGGATTTTTTTGGCCTTGATTATGACCATTCAATTTAATTTGATCAGAGTGAAAATTTAAGGACTCATGACTCCCTCCTTAACACCAGCAACAATTTTGTGCCCCTTCGTTCTGTCCAGTGAAACAGTTTTTGCAAACTCCTAATATGTAAAACTTGGTTTCAAAATCTTTGAACAAACTTCTGGTCTGAAACATTGGTCTGAACTATCCAAAGGATTTTTATTATTATTATTGTTATTTACATTACTTCCCTCTTAATTTTAAAGGGCCTACAGAAGTGAAATAATATCTGTAATATAATATACAATGACATTTCTCACCTCAAAGGCTTGGAACGTGATTCCTATGTGATAGCCCTCAGAAACTGTGATCTTCCAGATGCACTCTTTGGAAGGTCTGTAGTCATCTGGGTAATTGGGAGATTGGATCTGACCGGCATCTTTGTGAATTTCTCCACCACAAATAGCTTCATTAAAAGAAAAAAAAATTAAAACAAAATAAATAAATCAAATAATTTTTAAAAACCCAAAAAACAAAACAAAAAAACTCCACAGGTTTTTCCTTAGGTAAAGTCTGTTCCACACACAGCCTTCTTCCTCATTCAAATCTGTATCAATACTGCTTTTTCCATAAAGGCAACACAGAAGTCTTACAAACTTAAAATTTTGTCTTAGTGACAGTGTCTCCTGTCTCGCTGTGCCAAACTCTTTTGAAGGTGAACTCACTGGGACAGAGAATTTTTATGGATTTGTGTGTTTCACGCTCCTGGTCACCTTCACACCTGCTTAAAACTCTCTACCAGCACTAAGGACCAGGAAAAGTTGGCAAAAAAAACCAGTTGCAAATCTAATCCAGCCACACGATGGCAATATTAACAAGCATGAGCTGAGCTGTTCGCCAGGAGACCCAACAGGCTGACTGCTGTGCACCAAAACTTAAGTTTTGTGCTAAACGTAAGAATGAGTAAGTTTAAAGACCAAGAACAGAAAATTTAATGAAAATCAAGTTTAATAAAGCAGAGCACAATTTAGGTTGCAGTTTGAGTTCAGAGCTACAAGTGGTGCTAGAGAGACCTCTGAGGGACCTTTTAGAGAACTGTCACCTCCATCTAATAGAAAGAGGACTACAAGAACAGAGAATGGACAACTTTTTTTAAAACAGCCATAAGCAGCAAACAGGTTTTTCTTTGTCCACTGCAGTAGTCCATGCTTAAATTCACCTGAGCAACTAAGTTGCTCAGAAGAGCAACTTATACTGGAAGAGCTTTACTGCAAAATAGAAAGAATATCTGCTGATAGAGCCTGAGAAGGCAATAAGGATGACAAACTTGGGGCTGCCCGCAGTGCTGTAGGGGAAAAGCACCAGCATCTTCCCATCTTGAATCTCATGAAAGAAAAGGAACAATATGACAGAACACTTTCTCTGCATTAAGTGTATTCAGTATCAAATAATTCTCCCATCATGTGGCTACATGTGGGCCTCTTTTCTCCCATCTTACCGAAAACTTTAGGGGCAAGACCTGGAGGATTCCAAATCCAAAAAACTCAGTCCTCACTCACAGAGCTCCCAGCAAAGTTCAGAGGCACGAACACTTACATGCATTCTCACTAAAGCAGAGGACAGAGCAGGAGTGGTAAAACCCACTTTGGCTTTTTACTATGCGAGGGACAAGAGTTCAAAAGAAAAACAGGAACTAACAGCAATGCAGAGAGCTTTTGGAGAAAAGCATATAGAAATCTGAACATAAGGACAAGCCCTCCTGGAAATAAAAATTACCCTTATTGCATAGATACAGAAGCAATAAAACAGCTGAGTAAGCTACCTGACAACAGAGGAAAGAAACAAGCCATTACTACAGCTTGCATCAGAGGGAAAGAGGGATTAAGAAAGATTTTTGGAAACTCCCATTTCAGCAAATAAATTATGGACTGGGATGTAGATGATCTCATTATCTGCTCCTCCAGGAAGCAGGTTGAGCTAGGAAAAGAAGTATGCAATGGGCCATCACTGTTTCTGTGGGACAAGCTGGCTTCCACCAGTCATATTCTGTGCTTGCTCTCAGGCTTAGCAATAGACTTCATACCTTTCCAATAGGAAGCTTCTTGCAGGAAAGGACTAAATGAAAAGCCAGAGCTTTGAAGAAGCAGGGAAATATGAACAGTCAGAGGGATAACAAAGTTTGACCACTAGATGCACATTCCACTTTCATTTGCTCTCCTCAAAAGTCAAGTGAAGCAAGCACTGCACATCTTCACTGAACCTCTAGGGGCCGTTTATTAATCAAGAGAAAAAATGGAAAATTATCAAGAAAAAATAAAGTTTTGCAGAGCTACTTTAGCGTGTAGCCGATGTAAAAAACTTTTTTCTTTCAATATGCTTTAGCAATGCAAAGCATGATGTATGAAGAACAGAGAAGTTGCTTCCCCAAAACATCCCTCACCTTGCATTTTTTCCTTTTTCCTTTAAAGTTGGAGCAGGTATCACTGGGGAATAACCCACTGTAAGAATTAAGCTGACTAGCTCACCAAAACAATAAGCCAAAATAAACCAGCCTATTAAAGACACACTAGATTGATCACTTTTCATTCCAACAAACTACCCTAAAAGGGGTGTTACAAACCACAAGGTCCAGGCAACAGCTGCTTCTCAGGGGAGACATTAAAAAAATAAATAAATCAGGCTCTGTCTCTAGGGCGCCAACTCCTGCAGAAACCAGATATTTCTCCTGAGAAACAGATTTGTTAGCCCCACACTGTTTGTGAAACCCTTATATACTTTATTTGCCCAACAATCCCGTGTTTTCTTCACGTCTCTCTGTTAGTATCATTATTCATCAGCATATTGGACACTAAGGCACTGGGCTTCCAGTGTCATGCTTGGTCCTGTGGCTGCAGAAAGAAGATGCAAAGTCAGTACCAACAGAGTCAACCTCAATACTGTTGAAATCACTGGTACTGCTAAGAAAATGCCTGTTGCCCAGAGGACAACGAAGGTTTTTAATACATTGTAGAATCACTATTGTAGAAAATAAGCATATGTGGATAAGGGATGTTACCAATTTGTTAGCGACTTTGCTAGTATTGCACTTGCTCTGAAGTGGTTTTTCAGCATCCCAGTGCCATGCAAGTTTCCAAAGTACCTGACCTGCAGAAGATCTGACGTGCTAATTGCTAACCTTCTGTAAGTAAAACATACAAGGGAGAAACCAAAGAACAATCTTTGCATTTGAGCAAAAAAAATCCCCCAAAATAAGCTGTGTTAAGTGACATAATACATATGATCTGAAGCAGAACTCTGCCTGTTAAATTACTGGAAGGAACTCCTGCTACGTCCAACACTGCAGGGGCTGGTTAGGGCAAACAGAACCTGAACAGAAGCTATTGGTCTCTGCTGACATCCTGTTGTCCTCTCAAAATTGTGGTCATTTAGTTGGAAGATCCATGCCCCATCTGCTGAAACAGCCAACAAAATCCACCAATTCCCATAAAAATAAGAGCGGGTGCTGTGTCTAACCAGGCAACATGAAGCATGCCACTCCATGCAACACAACAGATGACCTCTAGCTAAAGGCTGTACCTTCATAAACCACAAAGAAGCCTTTGCCCAGGATGTTACTGCTGCTCCGGAACTCGATCCACAGCCTGCTGTCCGTGGAGATTACTGGTTCTGGGATCTTGTCACCACAAAATCTACCTAGAAGGCAGGAAAAAGACAATCAAGATCTCCTGACTGACGGGCAGCACAGCATAGTAGGCACCTGTGGCTCCAGAAAGCAAAGAGTCTGTGGTTAAAAGAGGTGTGCTTCTGTCGAACACCCTCTCACAGGGACACCTCCCACCAGAGCAGGTTGCTCAAAGCCCCATCCAGCCTGGCCTTGAACCCCTCCAGGGATGGGGCAACTACAACTTCACTCAGCAACCTGTTCCAGTGTCTCACCACCCTCACAGGAAATAATTTCTTCCTGAGATCTAATCTAAATCTCCCCTCTTTCAGTTTAAAACCATTACCCCTCATCCTATCGCTCCACTCCTTCATAGAGTCCCTCTCTATCTCTCCTGTAGGCTCCTTTTAGGTACTGGAAGGGCTTTTAGGTAACGGAAGGGTGAGTTGCAAACTCTTTTTCTCTTCAATGGCAGTTTCACCACCAACTTTTTTCTCTTGCGGAGTCACCCATCCAAATACTATTATCTCAGAGCTTCTCTTGACTCAGCTACTCAATTCTGAGTCCCTGTGCCCCCAGGCTGCCCGGGGCAGTTGGTACAGCGTGACAGCCCTGTGGCCTACCAATAGCATCTCCCACCTCCACTCCCAAAGGGGACCCTAACAAACAGCATCAGCACCACAAAGCTCCTTCCTCTAGGGTCACTGAGCAACTGCCTCCCGGATTTAGGCCTGGAGTTGAACAAGGGTGTCAAGGAGAGGAAACGCAGATGAGGAACGAGAACGAGCAAACTCCTCAGAGTGTGATAAAGGGCCCATTCATAAAAAGTTATACACCATTTAAAGGCTGGGTTTTCACACACTTCCCTGGGAAAATATGCAGCGCACATGTATTATTTTTTATTTTTTCTCTCCGCAAGAAGCCCGTGCTTTCACAATTCACTCTAATCCCCCTCCCCGCCCCCCGCTGAATTGCCGTCTGTCTGCCTCTTCCGAGCTAATTTCATGGGCTCAGCCCCTTGCGGGAGCCGTGGCCACTCATGCAGTGTCTCCTTCCAGATGGAAACACTCGCGAGTCCACCTGCACTAAGGGGGGGGACGGGGAGGTGCTTGGCTTCTTGAAATACCTTTAAATTGCTCGGCAGAAAAAACAAATGAGGAGCTAAGTTGCAGCTGTTGGAGCAACGTTACCTGACGCATGTGCAGCAGGAAAGAGCAATAAATGCTGCCAACCCCAAAACAGGCAGGAAACAGTAAAACTGGCTGCCAACTCAGCACTGAAAGGCACAGAAACCTCTGGGAAGCAGCACGGCTTCAGCCTCAGCACCTCACCTGCTACCAGGGCTGGGATGTCCTCTGGGGCCAAGGTGAGCACCCAGACCTCCCTAAAGCCCATTCTGACTAGCCCAGTCCTGTGCTTCAGCATGGGGCATGGCACCTCTAACACAGCTGGTGATGCTACACAACCTAGAATCATAGAATGGTTTGGGATGGAAAGGGACCTTAAAGATCACCTAGTTCCAACCCCCTGCCATGGGCAGGGACACCTCTCACCACACCAGATCGCTCAAAGCCCCATCCAACCACTCTCTGATGGCTTCTTCCTTTCCAGGCAGAAGGGGCTGTTTGAGTTTGGGGACACAAAAGTTAGGGGATGGAGTCAGGACCAGAGCCAGTGGAAAAGCCTGTGGGACTCCTGACTGACCACTCTGGCTGACAGAAGAACTCCTCTTACGCTAGCAGAGGAATAAGGAGGACATAGAGGAGCTGCACTCCCTTGAGATCCTTGTGAGAAGGAGCAGAGTAGAACCCTTGCAGAGTTTGACATCCTGGGCATGGTCTAGCAAGTTCCCTTCTAGAAGTTCAGAGGCTCAAAGCACAGCCTCCTGTGCATCTGTAAACACAAATACTTGAGAAATAACAGCAGGAGCTTGGGCCAGGAGCTGTACGGCCCCTTTACTCTGACTGCCTGACAGCTCCACCCAGGTACTAGGAAAAAGCAATAACAAAACTCCAGAGCCCACATCTTGTCTTCCAGCCATGCCCCTGGCTCACTTCCCTCACTGCCTCACTTCTCAAGCTGGAAAAGGAAGGAATAAAGCCTTTGCTACCAAGGGGCTTGGAGCTTGGAGCATGGATCATTTGGTGTGAATACAGCACACCGACACCTCTGGATGGAGACACTAATGGATGCCCAGTGCCCTGGCTGAATATAGGCTCCTTCCAGGTAAAGGAAGGTTTGTTTCTGTTTCCCCCCTCTCAAGCATCAAGAACACCCCACGAAATGTAATTAAAAATGAAACAACCACTCACCCAGCAACGGAGCCTTCCTCCAGTAGCCATCGCGCACCTCCACATAATCATACCAGCAAAGGCGACTTTTAAATAGGTCCATTGATGTGAAGTTTAACATAATCTGAAAGGAGAGAGCACACACTTCTCTTTGGGAAGGGAGCTACTTTAAAGAGAAGACCCGTCAGATTCCCTGCTTCATCTCTGCTAGAGTGGTGTGTAAATGAATATGCAGCAAAAGACAGTGGGTCAGTTGGTTGGATTTTTTAAGCAGCTTCCCCCAAAAAAGAAAGGCTTCTCAAAGTATTTTAGCGAAACCAAAGTACACGACAGCAGACAGCACTTTACCATCCATTCTGTAATTCACAGTCACCGCTCCTCAGTTTTTAAAATGCTATTAAAAAAAAAGCCCAATTTGGATTTTTTAAAATTAAAAATTGAATCATTGGTTTTGATTTATATGAACATCATAGAGAAACACATTGCCCTAAACCCCAGATATTTGGGGTCTATACCCTCATGTAAATGACACATGTAAGAAAGCTAATTTTGCTGACAAGTTCCCACATTCTGACAATTACACCCACACCATCACCGGGATGTAATTGTGTTCAGTGGCTTTTTACCGAACAGAGCTTCACATGAAAATTTTATCCCTTTGGTTTCCTTCCCCTGGAACAAGGATTATAGGCCTTGCTCTGGGCCTGTGGAAGTCACCGATGGGATGTACTTGTGGCATTTTTGTCCTTGCCCGTGCATTAATTTACATCTATAGCCTGCCACAGAAACATCATGAGAATAAAACAGATATTCAGCCCTGGCTGGATGTGCAGAGTGCAGTCTGTGATGATGTCGCTTACTTTGTTCGCACTTTTGCAGTTTTTTGGCTTTGGACAGCAAAAGGAGATTCAGCAGTTTCTCTGTGGGTGAACACTACAAGCTCAGTATTTGTTCCAAGCGAATGCCTCGGTGTTATGATGCTGCTTTGCACCAATTGCTGCATTTGATTACACAAAATTAAGTTGAATCATTTGATCTGAACTTGGTTTATTTTTATTTTTATTTTTTAATACTAGCGGTTCAGCATTTAGATGCTGGGTCCTGTCCAATACAGCTCTTCCGAAGAGGCTGAGAGACCAAGGGAGAATTCACAGGAAGATTTACACCCCAAAAACTCCTGGTCCCATAGTTACAAAACCCAGATGGTTCTCGGCACCTCTGCCCCTGGTGAAGCTGATGGGACTCAGCCCTGCATGGGACTGGGCTTGCAGGTGACAGAACTGGGTCCCAGAGCAAGACGGCTGCTGCAAAACCAGCCGCTTCTGCTCTTCTTTGTTCAAATCTGAGTCTTAAATGTGCCTTGAGGGTGGTCCTCGGCAAAAGCCGCTCTGCTGAGGAGCTCCCGGGCCGGGCTGTGCATTCCTGTGGCCTGGTACGACAGCATGAAAGGCCTGCAGGGCCGGCGTGAGTGGATTAAGGAAAGATTTCATTTCCACAGGAAGATCAGTAAAACAAAAGGAGCCGGGAAGAAAGTGGACGGGGTGGGTGATTGATGCGCAGCGGGGCTCGGCCTTCCAAGGCGGGGAGCGGGAGTCCCCTGACAGGGACATTATGCCAGCGTGACAAGGGGCAGGCCACCGATGTCACTCATGGCTCCCCGGCTCCCTTGGGGACCCCAGATTGCTGGCACCTTTTATCTAACTCTTCCGACCGGCGCTCTGCTGAGGAGCTCCCAGGCCGGGCTGTGCATTCCTGTGGCCTGGTACGACAGCATGAAAGGCCTGCAGGGCCGGCGTGAGTGGATTAAGGAAAGATTTCATTTCCACAGGAAGATCAGTAAAACAAAAGGAGCCGGGAAGAAAGTGGACGGGGTGGGTGATTGATGCGCAGCGGGGCTCGGCCTTCCAAGGCGGGGAGCGGGAGTCCCCTGACAGGGACATTATGCCAGCGTGACAAGGGGCAGGCCACCGATGTCACTCATGGCTCCCCGGCTCCCTTGGGGACCCCAGATTGCTGGCACCTTTTATCTAACTCTTCCGACCGGCACCTGGCTTCGAAAGATGAGCTCTAGCTGGAGCTAGAGGGTGGCAGGAAGAGTCCATGCAGGGTTCAGCCTCGGATAGAGAGGAAAGATCAGAGACCAACACACAGCCCAGACCTGTGAGGGGGTTCTTCTCCAACATTACCTCTTCTCCTCTCAGGACCACTCCTGACCCCATCTTCGGGAGGACAGTGATGGTGCTCAGGAGCCTTTCCAGGCTCCATCCCTGCACTCTAGGCACGCAGAGATCTTTTGGCACCTGTCAGCACAGGCAAAACCACACACAAGGGAAGCACTGAGTACATCTTGTGCTGGTGTGGGACCTACCTTCTCCCCTGGGGTCACCGAGATCCTCCAGACGCAGTGGGAGTAGGAGGGGTAGCCATTTGGAAAGCCAGGGGCTGAGAAATTCCCTGTTGAGTCCTGCAAGGTCTCTCCACAAGCTGCAAGAGAGGTTGGGGAAGGGGGACCAGCAACAAGGAGTGACTCTCTGAAACACATCAGGGTCCACCAAAATGTTTGCCCATGGCTGCTGTGTGCAGGCTGGTGGCTGGGACTCTAAGGATGTTCACTGATGGCACTGGCCAAAGGTCACTGACCTTGCCAAAGGGGTAATTTGTCAGAATTCCCAGGATAGAAGATAACCAGTGCAAAGACACAGGGGAAACAGCTTTCAAAGAGGCACCCTTCTTCCTTCATCTTCCTTCCACACGGCCAGTTTCAACCCTACTGACGAATATTTCATCCACTAATCAAATGCAAAATATTAACCCTACCGCACCTCGCAACCCCAAGACTGCAGCCGTCAAATCTGCTTTCCCTTCGTTGCAAGTTGCTCAATGAAGTCTTCCACACGGCCAGTTTCAACCCTACTGACGAATATTTCATCCACTAATCAAATGCAAAATATTAACCCTACCTCACCTCGCAACCCCAAGACTGCAGCTGGCAAATCTGTTTTCCCTTCGTTGCAAGTTGCTCAATGAAGTTCTCCTTAGTTACCATTGTTAAATGCCTTTTCTGGGGGGGTTAAAACTTCCGAACAAAAGCAAGGCCTGCTGCGGTTGATGAAATGTAGATCCCAGAGCGACTTTTGGGAAACAACTTGTATGCACACGCACACGCTTCTCTAGGAAACGGCAGCTTCCAACATCTGGGAAAGCCGTGACTACTGTAGTTCCTGCTCTCTGAGCCAGGAGGACTGAGCTGGAACAAGGAGTGACCATCTACATCTGCAGAGCAGCTGACAGGCTGGGTCGGAGGATCACAAATATCAAAGCTCCCTTTTTCTTCAGAGCACACACTAGACACACGCAGATACCCATCCCACGGAGCAGGGATCTTGGTTTGCCTGCCTTCCAGTTGTTTTTTTCTATTTTCATAACCCGCTGATGTTACAAAGCTGCCCTTGACCTGCAGCTTCGTTTCCTCAGTGACGGCAAGGCAGCTCCCAAAAATCCCTCGTTAAGCAGCAGTGCTTTGAAAGATCCGACAAGGCCGAACATCTGGCTCCCTTTCTCATGGAAATGCCAGGGGATGTTCCTCTGCCTGATGCTATCACACACTCACTAATTTTTCAGCCACGATCACATTTAGATGGGCGGGTCGGAAGTGGAGGTGAAAAGAGACCGGACCCATTCAAAAAGTTTAATATCTTCCAAAAGGGGAGAGGGAGTCACCTAGGCCAGAAATTCTTAATTTCCCTCAAGTAGTTTGACCCACAGCTTGACAGGTCAGACTAGATGAACAATAGGCAGGGACACAAAAAGGGTTTTTTCTCAAACAAACAGCTCCCAGGGGTGCTCTGGAAGGTGGAGTCACTACTAGGAACAAGTTGCACATATTTCAAGGTCCAGCAAAGCCAAAGGCATTTTAAACTACTAGAAAAAAAGTACCACTGGGCAAAACAGGCAGGTAAACACACACCTCTGCCCTAGAGGAATGAAGAAAATAAATGAGAGTCCCAAATCTCTACACTGCTCCTTCTGTCTCAAGCAGTTTTGAGCCCTGAGTTGCTCTTACCATCATGCAACTCCAAAGGGTCATTGCACAGGAAGTATTTGTTTCAGTTCTGCAGAAACAGCTAATACCCTCCCACCTATCCTAAACATGTTTGGCAGGTGATGCTGTCTGTACTCTTCAGGTGAGCAGAGAGAGATGTTTGTAAAAGGTGATGATCTGTATGAGCTACAGAAGAAATCTGCACTTCTATTTGCAGAAAAAACCACACTACCTTCCTTTTTACCTCTTGCAAAGATGCCTTGTCTTGTTGCCTGTGTCAGAATCTGTTAGGATAATTCCAGCTCTCAGGATGCTCCTAGGACCCTCAACCAGGAAATGTATGCTGCCCCAGCAGATAAACATCTCAAAGAAGCTGAGTCCCAGCCATATTTATTCTGAGGACAGCAAGCCATTCTTCAGCTGATCCTCTGGCATCACCACTGGTCAATGCATGGTCTGGAGCGGCCACCACCTTAGCATGGCTCTAGGAATGGCAACATCTGACAAGGTGTCCTAATAAAGAGGGGATTCCAATCCACAACTCACCAAGATACATAAATATTACTTTACTCAAATACGAAATGATAGAGAGCTCTACATCACCGCGAACACATACTACATGACCATAATGACACAGGAGGATCACCACTGTCAGCTGTCACCTCACCACAGTGGAGGTTTCTGACAGCCCAGACTCAACTCTCCTAAGTATAATACACAGTACCTGGCAAGACTGTGTAATTATGGAACAGGTACTAACGTATCTACCAAACACCACTACTAAAATACCACGAAAAGGAGACCTAGACAACTACACAAACTTTGAGAACAGGTACTAACGGATCTACCAAACACCACTCTACTAAAATACCATGAAAGGAGACCTAGACAACTACACAAACTTTGCAGAGGAAACTCCCCAGACAAGCTGGGAGAGGCTGGTCATCCAGCACACACAAGCTGCCAGAAAGGAACAGAAGTGAAAAGTAAGGTAGAAAAGGTGAAACACCTCAAAAGCCATTTGTAAATTCAGTAGTTGAGTACTTACTGCTCATCAGCTGGTTACTGGTACCCTACAGCTTTTTGAAGCTGCACAGGGAATTGGATGGGGTGATGTAAAGCAGGACCATTCTCAATTTATAGTTTAATCTTTCCTGCACAGTGAGCAGAGCCACACGGGCCTGTTGCCTTTGGCACAGCACAAAACAGCAGGATGTGGTGTTTTGAAGCCTTTTGTAGTGACTATACTCATCAAATCCTCAACCTTGCAGCCACACCAAACCTAGCATTTACTACTACGCAGCAGAATGCATCTTGCCTTCCAGAAATTCCTTCAGCAAATTTCATCTGTTTTTACCTGTTTTGGCACTAACTTCAACCCAGCAGGTATAAGCTTTGGGGAATTAAAAGCAATTTAAAACAGCGGGGTTTTAGAATGGGAAAGCTAAGCCAGCCCTAACTGTAGCAGCCACAAGAGCTCCAGTCTAATGAGTTGGAGAGCCCTGTTTCTTACAAAGGACACAGCAGTCGTTCTGGCTCACATCAGCACAGGCTTGTAACTCATCCTCCACCATACTAGCTTTTTTGGGGGGGACGGATTTTCTCAGACATTCTTAAATGGACACTCTCTAAAAGCAAAACCATCTGCCATTCAGCTTCTGGATTACGTTGTTCTGTTTTACCTAAAAATCCTCAGTTTGATTACTGAACAAAGTTGTCCTCAAACAAAAGTCTCATTCACACCCTGCTCAAACACACAACTGAAGTCCTTTGTTTTTGAACTCCTGTGGTTTGCATTTCGCAAAAGAGAACTTTTCAAGCTACAGATTCAAATGGCAGCTGAAGATGTCCATGTCATTAAATATATTGCACCTCTTCTCTCCTTCTCTTCAAATGCAACCTGTATAAATTATGATGCAAATTAAAAAAAAAAGAAACCAAAACAATAGATTTTTGAATAAGAAAATGTATTTAGTAGGCTTAAAGCTCTGATCATTCTTCTGCCAAATATTTTCTGAACTTTAATAACCTCTGCTAAAGCTTTGTGGAAAAAATCCTAAAAAAGTAGAAAAGTTCTACTTTGCAAGTGGAAACTTGACATTCAGAAGGGTCCTCATTTTCAAGAAAGTTGCTTTGTAGCTTTTAGTTTGACTTTAACCTCAGGCCAAAGTGGCTTTTCAGCTTGCCTTGAGAAATCTGAATCTGTAGTTGATGCTTCCAGCTATGAGAATGAAAAGCCTGCTTGGATTAAGTCTGACTCAATTAAAGAACATAGTGCAAGATGTCTGTATGTGGGGTTTTTTTTGAGTAGTCAAACAAACCAAACCCTAAACTAATCTGTGAGACAATTTTCCAGGAACTACATCTTGTTCAACCGAAAGCAAATTAGAGAAAATTATGAGTGGTAAAAAGAAAAAACAATGTTAGTTAGAACTAGCACACCTAAGGAAGTTACATCACTCACTGTAAACTAAGAAGTGATCCCCAAACTTCAAGGTCCCTGAAGTATTGCTGATCCTCAGAATTTATTCTAGACCCTTATGAGCCCACACTTCCTGCCTCATAGCTGGATACAGAGAAGAAACGGATTTGCACAGCAGCTACTGACCATTTTCCATGGCCTTGTGAAAGGTTCACAGAGCAGTGCTAGTCAGCCACTCACTTAAGGTATGATATGTATACTGGAAAAACCTATCTCTCCTCCTCACCTTCTCCCTTCTCTCTGTGATATGCTTATTCCAAGAGGATCAGTTATTTATGATCATATAAGTTTCATGATCAGTCAAAGCCACTCTCAATGGGATCGATATGCTGGCCAGACCAACCCATTTAGATAAACTCCTGGGCCATACTTGCAAAAGTTCTTTTTTTAAAGTCCCTGCACGACGATAAATATTACAGAGTCATTCTGCAAAATTAGGGCAACTTTCTCATTCTCCATTACCTCGTCATGGATGTTTCACTACTAGCAGAAATTCAACAGAACTTGTTAAATTTTCTCCTTCTGAGCATCCCACCTCCCATGCCATTTCTCTTCTGAGTCGCTGCAGTCCATGCCACACGCACCAGACCGGGTACCACTTTTGCTTCAAGCCTCTCTTTACATCTCATATTCAACCTGTCATTAAATCTGGCAGATTTCTTCTCTGAAATCTGTTTTTCACTAGTAACCTATTCAACTAAAACCATTGCATAAACTTTCACCGTCTAACATCTCCACTTTAAAAGCATCCTTTTGTTCTGATAAGTAAATTTAGTCTCCCGAATGTATTTGTGACCCCAATGCTCTCTTGCCAATCTTTTTCAGGCCCCAGATAAAGCAGGACCCAGACTGCTGGTCTTTATTATGTCATACATACATACATACATACATATGGATGGGTTCTCTATCAAAGCTCTTCCTCGTCTATCAACCCTTTGGCAGCAGCAAGAGAGATACAGCCCTCCTCTACACAGCCCAAAGCACCAGCTTGTAGCACCTGGTTGCTTCACAAATCGGCGTCTTTGAGCTTTCTTCAAGGTTATCTCCCAAGCCTCAGTGCAACACACCACAATCACGGAGATACTCTTAGGGTTTCTTTAAGGCTCATCCCTGGGACGACACCTATATAAATAACTCAACAGAAGTTTGATGGTTGGTGTGCAGAGACCTTGGTCTATCAAACATCCCTCTGACACTTTGCTAACTCCTAGTCCCCGCTCTGTCCATGGTCTTGTGTACTGAATTCATTTTTTATGAACGGAGCCTACATCATTCATTCTAGATGATATATGTGTATAAAACCAACAGCAAAATACAAGCCTCATCCTAGCCCCTCTCCCCAGCTTACGCTGCAGCTCTTCTTACTAGTTTCAGTAGAGAACACTGGACAAACCTTGAAGCCCTAAACCAAACAGGAATACTTTCAAAATACTAATAGAAGACAGGTGTTAGGCAAGTTCAATTCTCCCAACAGCTCCAGCTTAAAGCACTTGATGGTCTATATTTCCTGAGTCTCTTTCATCAAAGGGATTGTTAAGGTGCTCCTGAACTCCAACGCCTTCCAGATAAGCCACATGTCTACAATAAAGCTGGAACCATCTCCACAAGCCGTATTTACCTGGGCATTTGTACAACTTCCTTGCCTGAGCGATGTCTCCCTGACTCAGGCGAATACGCTGACCAATAGTTGGCCGGACCCCATTATCATCACGACGGGGAAGGATGGTGTCGAGGAAAACCCCTCTGAAGGGAAGAAGAAAGAGACAAAGAGCAGTGAAGTAGGGAAAAGTGACACAGTGCACAGAAAGTCATCCTGGCAGGCCTCCCACACCATCCCCTTGACCATACATCCCACACTAACAAGCAGGAGCAATGCAGGTTGTGATAACCGCATGTCTTGAGGTGGTCTTCTCGCCACAGCAGACAGCTCCCAAATGTACAGGCGAGTCTGCCAAGCCAGGAAATTCCTCTTTTGAAAGAGGAAGATTGCTGCTGCCTCTGTTTGAGTATAGACATATTCCTCTCCATAAATCAGAAAAAGCAATGAAATATTCTTGCAGCAGGTTCATGACACATCTGGCTCAGCAGGAGCACAGATTGGACACTTAAGCCAAAGGAGCAGAGGGATTTTGTTCAGTAGCAGATGGGGTTGGGCTGGCAGCGATTGGGGTTGCCACAGACAAGCAAAAAAGATCAAGTGTTCTACCTTTGTTCTGCATGGGTTTCCCAGCTAATAACTCCATTTCTCTCTGCATCTTTTTCCTCGCTACTATTTCTTCCATGTGGTACTTCATAGTCAGGAGCTCTCTACTGCACTTCTGATCTCGGTCCAGAAAAGGATTTAAGCTCACTTCCCTCAAAATGCAAAATCTGTGCATCCAAGCAAGAGCTTGCACGCAAGAAAGACCCTAAGGCAGTATTAGAACTAAGGTGGGAGGGAGGAACCGGAAACCTGAACTCCAGGTTGGTAAAGTCCCAGCTCTTGCAGCCAAGCTGTCCAGTCCATAGAAACCACTTCACTGCATCCCTGAATGTCCAATGGGCTTGGAGGTACCAAGGCTAACAGTGAGCCTCAAACTTCAGCATCAGCTCTGGGAGGCAGACTTCTCTTTCTGAAGGACAGGATACAACCATCCATAGACTCCGATGGGAAATCAGGGCAGAAGCAATAATTTTAGTGCCGTCTAGTCTTCATACAAGGGTTTTCAAGTATGGGTTAAGCTCTAAGTACACCAGTAATTCTGTTCATTGGGCTGCTCAGCTGCATAAGAGCCTTGGGAAGGAGTTTGAGAGGTTTGGTTTTTGGGTTTTTTTTGTTGCTTAATTTTAAATAAATACCGAAAGCAGGGTATTTGGATCACAGCTGTCCAGAGCTGCAGCCAACGTTCTTGAACAGAAAATATCATTCTGTTAAACATATTTTGTGGGGGAGAAAATCTTTTGTAAATATTCAAACTGAAGGAAAAAATAGAGAGGAAGGAATTTAATCAGTTTTAAAAACTAGAATCAACTCTTGCATGGGGGATGTTGGTTTTTTTTTCCAGTGGTAGGAAAATTCCTGATCAGTGCTAAAATCAGTGCTTACGAGCTCTGAGGTGAGCCCATCAAATTTTGATTGACAATTCAGGCTGGTATTCTACATCCCAGTTGCATGCCTCAGGCTGAATTTATTTAAGTTTATGTTGAAAATAAATCCTCTAATTCCAGAAACACTACAGATAAACAGGTCGGTTTGCCCACAGTAAGTTTTCAAACTCAGGACTTCACAGAAGAACTCAGCATTTGGCAGGGACCTGCTTCTGTGGCCAGCGAAATGCTTTCTGCAGATCTCCAGGCTCAACCAGGGAAGAATGACAAAGTTTAATGGAGAAACCCTCATTTGCACACCTAAACTTTTGATTCTTCTTCCCGTTCTAGCGCTCATGACTGCGCGCTCACAGCCCCCAGCCTGCTGCTCCTTCATGTGCATTGCTGAACATTACTCCAAATTAGGAGGCAGTAAGAACAGTTCCTCGAATTTCACAATCAAAGGAACCAAGTACAATGGAGAGTCCTTCAGACCTAAATCACACAGGTCCCAGCAGCCCCATGTTGTCCACCTTAACAACACTATGATGTTAAGCTGCACGTTTGGTGAGCATCTCTAAGAGCACTGATACTTTGGCTCACAAGCTAATAAAAATGGAGCAGACATCATTAAACAGAGCAGCTCAGGCACTCAAACACCAGAATCGTTACTGAATAAGATACCTAACTTGTTGTCCCAGAGCTAGGAGAAGATCCCATGAATCCTGGATGCCCCATTCTCTTGCTGTTCAGGCATGGCAGTGTGCATTAGCTGCCCAATACACTGGTAAGTCAAGCATAACAACCCACTATTGCTACCAGCTGAGAACGACAGAGTTTAAGCTTTTGAGGTGCTTTTGAGTCATTAGCACCCACATAGTACCCTGAATGTGTAAATCGTTACGTAAACATTATGAAATTATCCACTGATCTTGAGAAATGCTGACTATTCACTATCCTATCTGTGGCCAGGTGTGATACAGGTGCTTTAAACACCACTCAAGGAAGCAGATGTGGAAGGCAGATTAAGCACTCGGCTGCAGGCAGCTACGTTTTGTCCCAACTCTGTATTTATATCCTCCATCTGCAGAGGAGAGACAACATAACCCTACTTCACACAGTAAAACTTGTGGAGGACCTAAGTGCCATGTGTATAGGTCTTGTGCAGGATTAGGATGGGGTGTTGCCAATATGTCAAGAAGATGCCCCTTGACGTGCAGACAGTGCTACCTGCATCCTGATTTAAACAGGAGCTTTGCAGAAGTTGTGTTTTTTAACTCCAGGCTGTCCTGCCACATCTACTAGCAAGAATCTTAGTGAATTAAGGTAACCTGCTATTTGCCTAGGGCTCCGTGGAGGTTTAAACTTCCTTATTGCTAAACTGCCATTTATTGGTCTTGTCAGCAGTAAAATAAATTGTTTAATGAGACAGCAATACTCAGTTCAATTTGCTGGCACGTCTGTAAGGAATGCACCAGGAAATCAAAGCCCGCAGCCATACGCTGCAAAAACAGGCAACTTCCTGACATAGTCAAGAACAGAAGTTCCCAGGGTAAAAACTTGCTACCCCTGTCATTACAGTCTGTGGTGCCGTACTCCTAGTCCTATCAGCCATGGGCACAAATGAGAAGTGTGTTTTGCTGTGAACTGAAAACAAGCAGTGACTCCGGCTGAAATTTTCAAAAGCACCATTGGAAATAATTTCCACTGCTAGGATTATTTATGAGTGTAGCGATAGGACAAGGGGTAATGGTTTTAAACTGAAAGAGGGGAGATTTAGATGAGGTATTAGGAAGAAATTCTTTGCTGTGAGGGTGGTGAGACACTGGAACAAGTTGCCCAGAGAAGCTGTGGATGGTCCATCCCTGGAGGGGTTCAAGGCCAGGCTGGATGGGGCTTTGAGCAACCTGGTCTGGTGGGAGGTGTCCCTGCCCAGGGCAGGGGGGTTGGAAGTATATGATCTTGAAGGTCCCTTCCAACTTAAACCATTCTATGATTCTATGACTCGTTGTACCTCATAAAAACTGTCCCTTTCTGTCTGTCCTAGGTGCAAAGTTTAGAACAAAAAGGGCTTAGGATCTGCAGCCATATTTGACCATGACAAACACCATATGATTTCCTATCATCAATATTCATCAGGAGTCATAAACAACAAGATTGTGCTAAGTGCCATGTAAGAGCTTCTTCAAGACATGAGTCACAGACATGGCTCTGTAGCTTCATTTCCTCCTCACTCACACGCCCCATCTCAGCTGGTGGGTCGCTCAGACCATCTTTTTCCTATCTGCATTTTCTGGTGTGTGGCTTCTGTATTAACACACCCACCACAGCTCTTCCCTTCGCAGCATCACACGCCTCCAATTCCTAGTCACTGATCTTAACGAAACTTGCTGGAACTTACTATCTTCATGGGCTCCATGAAGTTGTCAATTTTGGTTGCAGTGGGCCAGCACCCACAAAGCTCAGTAAGGTGGGATGGAGACATGCATAGACCCTCAAATCTCTACTGGTTGGTCAAAGGAGGCATCGTTCCCTTAGAGGAGCAGATGTCAAGACAGGTCCTGGTGAAGCAAAAGCCTGTTCCCAGCCCTGCCTATTTACCAAGAGAGCACAATCAGCCCACAGAGGCACTTAGTGCTCAGTTCAATTACTGCACAAAGACCGCTACTGGGGTGAGGGTGGGTCACGGGGACAAAGGGCTTAAAGAAAACAGACTTAAAAATCCTATTAGGCACCAATTTAAATTTAGAAGGACTCTTGCCATTTTTATCCCTTTTTGGCCCAGCGGCGTTCTGAAGGACCCTGGTTTTCAAGAGACACAGACTCAAAGGCATCCACAATATAAATGGCAGTAATAACTTAATCCTGCTTTTGTGCCAGACAATTCTAACCATTTAGAGTCTAGCAAATGCTGGAAGGGTCCAGCAGATGCCTCAAGGGAAGAAAAATTGTTTGCTTTGGGTATCTGATCCAAAGAAATCTCTGAAGGCTGCAAAGCACCCTTGCCCAGCTACCATTTCCCCCTGCCAGAACAAGCAGCATTTCAAGTTTGATAATTTCCCCCCTGGTTGACATGAAGTTCCAGAAACAAAAGCACAAAACAATAGGCTTGGCAATTCCATACAACTGGAGAGTAAGAAAATTTTTAAAAGCCCCTATGACACACTTAATTTTTGCAACAAAAAGTTCTCAAGAGTGTGAATATTTGCACTCTGCCTCCCATCCCCCTTACTCATGGTATGTAGTGAAGGAAAGCTCTTGGGAAGGAGTAGTAGTGGGATTTATGGAAAAAAAAACTTTAAATAACGCAGCAAAATGGAGCTGGTCATCCAGTAGCTCTCATTCAAAATCCAGGACATAAATAACTGCTCATTTCATCTCCTTAACCAGTAGAGCTGCCTGATCACAAAATGCGCTCCATCTGGAGGCATGAGATGGGAATCAAGGGCAAACAGCCTACACAAAATTTGGCCAGTTAGTTGGGACAGGAACAGGACTGAAAACTTCTCCGTGAAGAACCCAGTCACAGAGAATCACAGAGCTGCAGAGGCCATGATCATGCAAAAATGGTTAAAAAAGTAGCCAAGCAATTAAAGATCGTGATCTGGAGTTTAAATACTCCCTTGGCAAAGTTGGTAGGGATTCAGAAGGCAATATTGTGACTCCAAAGCATGAGCTGGACAGCCAAGAGACTGAAAGGTCTAGTCTCCTAGGCTCCACATATCCCACAGACAACTACTGAAAACAGTCCTAAGGACATGTAACCTCGGATTGTCACCTGGAGAACGTGTTCCTAGCATAGTGCATGATGCTGTCGAAGTCATAGGTCTCGCCCAGTGAGTTCACTTCCCCAGCTTCCATCTTTAAAAAGTTGTACTCCTGACCTGTGATGCCAAACACAAAGGGAAAAACACAAATCGCTTTAAAAAAAATAAAGCAAAAAAAAAAGCTTTCCAACTCTAAAACTTCGAATGAAAGGGATATACTCCTACGTTCCAATAATTCCAGCTGGACATCCAAAATCTCTATTCATCCAACTATTTTGACCCCTTATTCTAGGCAAGGACTAGCAAAATTTCTTCACCATCTCAGCTCACAGACCACTAGGGGTCTTCCACAAGTCCAGCAAGAAAGGTTTCCACCCACCCAAAAGCCAGGTGGAATAACCTGAAGCGCTATTTTACCTTGCTGTATGTTCTCTCTGATGATGGTGACATGCTGGTCCCTGTCAGGCCGTGTGTGCTCGTGCCAGAAACCCACCACATGACCCAGCTCGTGAGCCACGATCCCAAACTTGTCACAGTTCTTCCCAATGGATATAGCCTGAGGGCCCCCTCCTCGGCGACCCACGTATGAGCAGCATCTGGGAAAGAAAACCCACAAACCCAGGCAGCACATGAGTGAATTGGGGAAGTCTGAGACATAGGAATGGAGGATGGCATCTGGCAGGGTCTGGGACAGGCCAGCAGTTGCATATGCTACAGGTATTTACATGTGTAAGTGTATAAGTGTATATCTATTAAAATGTATATATACACTTCAGTGTTATCCCAAGGAAAAGAATCCAGAAAGGCTTAGCACCTTCTTCTGAGCAAATACTAAATTATCCTGGCGATCCTTACTGGCAGTGACCAGATGTGTCTCTGTGGCAGATTCCCCCGTTGGTCTATTCTTACCAGAGCTGGACTTAAAAAGCCATTTGTCAATGAAAGGGATGTTTGCAACCCAGAGAGCTGCAGGGACCGTGTGCGCCACTCACCCACACGTTCTGTATGTGAACACAATGAAACTCTCTTCATCAGTTCTCTCCACAAACGTCACACAAGTGTGCTTCTCCCAGTGCCTCATCGCTTGCTTAAAGATAGCTCTTTGTGTTCCTGAAAAAGAAATCCAAGAAAAGCAGACAGTGAAGGCCTGGCTTTCAGGAAAATCTCTAATGGACTTCATCAATCTTTCCAACAAGCAGTCTTATACCTCTAGAAATCCGAGACCCACTTCCAACTATATCACTAATTTACTGTATCACCCTTTTCTCCCATCGTGCTTGATGAATTAACTGTTCTAATTAAGCAGGCAGTAAACTTGGTTAAGCACGTCAATATTTCTGCACGTGAGAAATGTCACCTCACTGGGCAGAGGTCATCCTGGAAGAGCTGCTGGGTGTCCTGATCTGCGCACCAGCTACTCGGTGATGTGCCAAATTTGTTCTCATGATGCAATGTGACATGACCACACACAGCTTTCAAGACCTAGGAATCGCATGGGTGCTACAGATGTTCCTCAAAACTAAGGCAAAGCTGTCATCAGGCAGTTTATTTTTAAAATCAGAAGCATAAACTGTATAGGAGGGGTGGGGAGAGCTGTGGCTAGCAGGCTACTTAATATCCTGCCAGGTGGCATGAGCCCTTCCCTTTGCAGGAGGTGAACAGACCCTTCTACTGAGGCTTCATGGACTTCTGGCAGTGGCATGCGTGCTGGGACAAAGCATATCATGGGAGCCCAAGGGAATAAGGTCTGCTGGATCTAAGTGAAGGCAGCCTGGGGGAGACAGGAAAGACCTGGCTCCAGTAAGGCACAGGGAATTTGTCATCCATGAGTCAAGGAAACCAATCCCATGGGGAACCACTGAGCCTCAGAGAGGTGGCATCGGAGCAAGTTGTCTGTCTGCTTCATATGAGAGACTTGCAAGAGATACTTTAGTTTGGACAGTGCCCAGAAGATGCCATAAAGCTCCTAAAAAGGAAACTTTGGAGAGGTCCTCACCCACTGTGGGACACAGCTCACTGCTCCTCTCCCTCCCACACCTACAGGAGACCCTGAAGCTTGGTGCTCAGAAACCAGCAGGTCGGGAAGCACAGGGAAAGTTCTCTGCGTGGGGATTCAGAAAGCAACCCAGGGTACTTCTGCTCCTGCTCTTCCAGCAGCCAAGAGCACCCCTTTCTGGAAACACAGGGGGTGAGGAGAGCTCACAAGCTCCTTGTGTGTCCACATGCCCACCCTGGCTACCAAGGATCCGAGCCGTTCATGGGAAAGCTCTGCTCCCGAGATCTCCCAGGCATTTTGAGACACTCACCCCTGAAGCAAACAGGGAACAACGTTTTCACTACTGACCGGTGAAGTTTCCTCCGATCACGTAAGGGATGACTCCCCCCGGCCAGATCCTCTCGGCCCGGGAGGTGGTTGCCCTGCGCACCCTGGGGGAGGAGCGTGCATCCATCCCAGACTCATCTTTATCGTCCTTCCTCTTCGGTCTCCTCGCAAGCGTGGTGTTCTGCCTGCCGTCTGCAAGACAGAGTGGCAACACTGTTTAAATCCTCTTTAGTTCCACGGGCAGCCCTCAGGTAATACCCTGGAGCTTCAGGAAAAAAAAATAAAGCAAAAAAGAAAAACAGAAAAAGCAAGAGGTTAATCCAAACCAGATTTGCCAGTGAGTTGTTTGGCTACTCCTCCAGAGAGTGCTGGCCTAAAGGGAAAATATCTCCTCGCCTCAAGAGGCAGGGCTGCTGGTGGTGGATTCTCGGTGCTGGTGGGCCTCTCTGAAGCTCCAAGAGGAGGGATCTAAGCTCCAGTTATGGTCTTGTGATTCGTATGGAAACCAGTAAAACTGGCTACTACTTTGCTTCCCAAGTCAGGGACATGGGCACCAGCTTATGAGAAAGCACAACCCCACTGAGACCTTCCTCCAGTGACTAGAGGGGCTGCCAAGAGCCTCTTCTGTGATTCATCCCTCCAGCAGCAGCACGGGCAAGGAAGCCACTACTGTCAAGGCTGAGGAGATCAAAACAATGGGAAGGAAATTAAGGCAGTGCAGGGGGGTGGAAGGAATAAACTTCAAACCCTCCCTCCTGCTTCATCCGGTCCAGCCCTTCCCGCTGGAGGCCTTGCTCTGAGTTGCAGGACAAAGTTTTGTTCTTCTTCGCCCTGAGCACCTCCCCGACATTTCAGAAGCTGCCCCATCCCCAAACCATCTGATGGACCCTCTGAGGTTGGCCCTCCCCTCCTTTGCATACACAATTCCATGAACATACTGCTGGGGCATTACAAGAGCCATAGTTGGAGGAAGGGAGAGGGTCTCAAGACACGAGCAATCTTAAGCATACCTGTTTCCCAGTCACAAACTTCCTGGGGCTGCCCAAAATCTGTGTGTTTACACACAGACAGCTCCTCCCAGCAAAGCCAAGCGAGGAGTCATCTGCCCCGCGTTCTATGCACATGGTGCAGTAGGAGCTCTGCACAGAGGACCCTGGGTCCACACTTTAGTGCCACCAACACTTCCGTTCCTCACCAGCAGCACGATGCCTTCGGCAAATCCTCATCACTTCAGGGGAATGGAAGCTTGAACTGGTTGAGCTGCAACATCCCTACAGCAAGGAGCAGCCAGTGAGCACTACACTCTCTGCCTTGGAGTAAAATGGTTTTGCTGTCCTGGAGACAGTCTGCTTGTGGATGGAGGTGAGCAATTGCCTTTATATCACTTGGGTTTGAGTTCGTTTGTTTTTTTTTTCCTCTTTCCTTCACTTATTAAATTTGTCTCAACCAATGAGTTTTCTCACTTTTGCTGTTCCTGCTGCATCATCTGTCCTTCTGGAGGAGTGGGACAGTGACCGAGCGGATCCGTGGATCCTTGGCTGCTGGTCGGGGTCAACCCACCACACTGTCCAAGGCAAACCCACCCTTGCAGAGAGGCCACCAACAGCAACAAATGCGGATGCCTGGGCAAGGCTGGTCTCCCAGGCATGGAGGCACACACACATGTAACACAGGACAAAACGTGGTTTTACAGGGGATAAAAAAAAGTAAATAAAAGATACCCAAAGGTCTGGGTGGGGTACCACATTACCCTTTTTAACTGCTTTGTTACTACCATCGGTTGAAGTGGTGTTCTCACTGGACGCAAGGGACTGTTCTCCCAGGCCTCCTGCAAAGGAAAAAGAGCAGAGACACATCTCCTGGTGAGTAGGCTGGAAGAGCTCTGACATGGGAAGGACGTCAGTGATGCCATTTGTGGGTCTGCAGCCACAGAAACTGGCTGCTTTCCCCGTGCAAGGAACAAGGACTAAGAGCCTGATAAAGCCGAACTCTTCTCCTGGATTTGTTCCCAGCTTACAGTGACACCTCACACCTCATTACCATCTTGTGCCTTAGTTTTTCCTTATACTGAATAGGCAGAAAGTCTCTTCTAGGGAAAGCTAGTTCCACGGAGGTTTACTGAGAATTGGAGCTATACTATCGCTACCATCCTCCTTGTACTACTATTAAATCTCAAATTTAGAAATGCACATAATGAAGGCAAAGAATGATCTACATTCAGACCAGTAAGCTCTATCAACTCTTATACATCTGGCCTGAATTCACCTTCACCTGAAAATAAAAGTCCTTCTCGGTGATGCTACATTGGTAACCTGAGCTATGCCAAATGCAATCTTCCATGAAGCACTTAAAGTTCCTGGGATAGCTTTCAAATTTTGGCCATCTCTTAAATGCAGGTTGGCCAACAATCATATAGTATTGAGATTTGAATTCTATGTAGGACCAGCAGCTGCTGAGTGTGGGGGGGGGAGCACTAAGAGATCATCCAGCAGCAAGACAACCTTCAGGACAGAGAAAGCAGAAGCAAAATGCAGTGAAAAGGACAGAAAAATGGTTGGAAAATGGGGTAGGGGGAAGAGAGAAGAACAAGGGTATTCTTTCTATAGCTGTCTGTCTGCCAGGTTTCCCAGACTTTCCATTTTGCAAGGTCCAACTTGGGAACACCACAGAAGCCAGAAACCTGGGCAGAAGCCACTGAGTAGTCACAGACACAAAATGGAAAACCAACCCCGCATCTCTTTGGCAGCAAAGCTCTCCATGGTGACTGCAGTAGGAGGGAGAACTCAAAACCAGTGCCTAGGGTGAGAAAGCACAAGACGTGAGATAGCGAGATGTATAACAGATAAATAAAATGTGCTTTGGGACTACAATCACAGCCTTAAGAAGGTGGTCTTGATACCACCACTTGTCCTCCTCTCTCCTTCCCCATCTTGTTATCGTGGCTCCTCTGTGAGCAGAAAGAAAGGCTGAATGAGCTGATCTCTGCAGAGGTATTCACAAGAGCAAGTTTCTACAGTCCTGGTGGCAAGGAAAAAACAGAAATAGCACGATCAACCACCATATGCAGAAAGGGAGACACTGTCAGTCATACAGCCCTGTTGGATGCCGTGTGGACACTTCAAGAGAGAGGTCCCACTTTCAAGAGAGCTGGACATCTTCCAGCCCCTGAACCAGTCTTGCTTTGCCAGCTGGAAAACGCTTCTTTTTTGCTCTAGAGCTGGCTTCTCACAAACCCTTCTCCAGCCCCTCCAAGGGGGCAAGGACAGGGGAAAAGGTACATCTCTGACACCTTGAAGAAGGTCTGAGAGGATGGTAGCAAAATGTACCTCTCCGACATTATACTCCTATAATGAATTAGAATATCAGGAAATGAATGATGAAAGACAGCAAATAAAATAAACCAGAGGAAAGCAAAATACTCAGACTCTCAGCTGACTATAGGTTAAAGCTTCCTGGTCCAAGAGACTCACTAAATCAGGGGATTGTCTCCCAAAGGAAGTGCCATAATTTAACAGAGCTGGACTGGACAAAAGCCACTAGATGTGTGAACAGGAACAAGCCTGATTCAACAAGATGGATTGCTCTGAACTCTATCACTCTTTTCCAGCCTCAATGTCCCATCCTAAGATTTCCCTTTGTTTTCTTTCATGCCCAGTCCTCCTCACTTCCTTAAGCCCAATCTCAACAAAAGTTCCTCTTCTCAGTTAAATTTTACATCCCCAGGACTTCTCATCCCCCCCCAAAGTATGCTATTCTTCACACAATATCCCATCCCGTTTAAAGGAAACCCCAACCAGCCATTCACCACCAGAATTATTAAGGCATGTGGTCTTTGCTGAGGCAAAGGATAATTTTGTATTTCTAAATAAATGCAGCTTGCTTCCAGTCACAAACAGATTGCTTCTTAATTGAACGCGGGAGGTGAATTATATGGTGAATTAGGGAAAAAGAACGACTCTGCATTTAGGGAATTGTTCTCCTAAGAAGGAACTGGATGGGATTGAATTGCAAATGATGGCACCGAACCCTAGAGCCGGGCCCCCTTCTCCTGCACCCGGGGCTGCTGACCTCTGCCGAGCCGCCGTGTCCTTTGCGCAGACGGCTTTTCCGAGCTGTGGGCACATTCTTTTCCCAGAGATCAGCGCAGGCCTTGGTTTCTTATGCAAAGGAGATGTTTGAATAAACTAGTGTGACTAATGAAATCTACAACATCTTTGCATATTTTTGCCCCATTGTAGGCGATGAAAAGGGAGAGCGCTACACAAAGGCCAGATATGGGTGTGCAGATACACCGGATATTTTCCAACGCCACCAATTTCGCTAGTACAGGCAGGGAGCACCCACACCCTTCTCTCCCACAAGGCTGTTTTTGAATCATACATTAGAATTTTGGAAGATGCTGTTCCAATTCACTTGAGCTTTTAGACATTTCCTACTCTTATGACATCTAAGCATCTCCCAAAGATTAAAGTGACGTGATAGACATTCAGTCATCTCTTCTGATTCTTCCCAAAAGAAAGCTAATGTATGATCCCTGCAAAATAAAGCTAAGTAATAGACATGCCATATTCAATAAATATGGAAGCCAAGAAATGCATCTTGCATCTGGAAGCATCTAGCATGGAAGCATCTAGGTTGGAAAAGACCCTTGGGATCCGAGTCCAACCATCTATCCTACTCTACAAAGTTCTTCCCCACACCATATCCCCCAACACCACATCTAAATGACTCTTCCACTTGATTACAAACCCTGAGGGGCATCTTGTCTGAAAAAGGAGAGGAAAATCTAGGCAAAGTGGCTAAGCAGCCCACTGGTGAATTGGGTTGCATGTAGTGGGCCTAGAAATACCCACCACCCTCCTCTTGAGTCCCTGTAAGACATCAAAGCTGCTGGTGAGGCAACTGACTTCTAAAATGTTTTACCACCACCTGTCTTCTAGCTTTTATTTGAAAACACTAGTCGGGGGCCAGATGAATTACCCACCTGAAAGCAAAGGAGAAAAGTCAGTCTATTCTGAGATACTTGGAGCTTCATTTTCAGACTACATCTATCTAGAATTTTAGTCTAAAATCCAACAGGAATTGTAGGTGTCTGAAAAATTGCAGTTTAAGAACACAAAATGCTCCTGCATGGGAAGCTGGATGGGTTGAAGCTTGCAACATCTCCCTTTTTTCCAAAGTGGAAAAGTTCCCATTAAAATCAAAGCAGTCCCCAAGCCAGGATAATTTTTCCTCTCCAGATGAATGAAGACCCTCTCCGCGTTCACTGGACCTTCTCTGGTCTGCTCTCCACACAGGGGAAAGGCTCCATAGTTTAGCTTGGAGGTACAGCCACTACTTTCATCACCTCTGCTGAGGACAAAGGAGACCCCAGTGAGCACTGAGGACTTTGCCAGGTTCTCCTGTTTTTCTTATTCAGCAGGGAATAACTTGACCATACACATAATTATCTGGTCTCACGCAGACTGAACCTCAGCAAGACTTTTTCTAATATGTCTTACTGTGGAAGAAAGGCTATTTCAGAGCTGGGAGATAACCAGGGAAAAAAACAGCATAAAATACATTTTTAAAAAATTAACAATTTCACTTCCCCTGTCCAGGCCTTAAAACACCTCGCTTTCATTTAATATATATGCTATTCACACGCCACAGCTTAGAGACTGGATTTCAAACAGAGGCTATAACAAAGCATCAACAAAACCAAGAGGCACAGGTAACATTAAATAGTCGTCACTGAGCTTCAGTTCTGGAAAACTCGGTCATATTATGACCATCAGAGAAGCTTCTGGAAGGACAAGATAAGTCAAACTTGATGTTACATGATGCTTTTTAACTTCCTCATTAACCAGTGGTCAACAACTTTTTAGCGTAGAAAATACACTTTATTGCACTGGATTTTCTAACCACAGAGAAAGTGATGATTTTATTAAAACAAGCTCTGCTGGGAAAACGCATTCAGAATGTGGAACAGATGTTTCCAGAGCTGGTGGAGAGTCTATAGCAAAAAACCTTTCATAAACCCCAGGGCCCTGGAGATCTAAGCAAATGATTTGAGATAGATCCTTCAGCATTTCCTGTCAGTGGAACAGCTGAAGTTCCCTCAATTTACTTAAAGAAAAATAAATTAAAAAGAAGAAGAATTCTGAAGCCCAAATTCCCTGCAGGAATCTGTTTTTCATATTCAGAGTAAGCTGCCTAGCTGCAATAACTCAGGAGAGTCCCAGGGTCCAGAGGCTTGACAAGCAGATGTGTCATCTCCCCATCAGTTCTGCAAATGCTTGTGCAGGGCGAGGACACCGGTCTCCCAGGGAAGTTCACGAGAAGAGGAAGGTGAACACAGCGAAGCAAACGCAGAGCTGCCACAAACATGAGCTGCAAACCACTTGAAGCACCGATCCCTGCCACTGGCCATCCCTGCTTGGAGTGGCACAGCAGAAATGTAGGCACCACCATTCCCCAAAACCTTGTTTTCTCCCTGGGCACCCCCTGCTGTTCTGGAAGTGGCAGCATCATTTTAATACTGTGATGGATCTTCTTCTTACAGAAGGTGTCACAAGAAACAGGACAATCTGACCCGACCTCTCCACCAACCTTTCAACCAAGAGTCAATGCTTCAGGGAGCAATGCTCTCTGGAGTCAAGAAAGGACTCAGAAGACTGGAAGGGGCCTTTTCCTGCAGGCTGTAACAACCACCTGTGTTCCCTGGGGTAAAAAGACAGACAAATGAGAGAGAAAATTACCTACAACCTGTGCAATGTCACCAATTTCTTCCAGTGAGAAAGAGCAAGTCCCTGGCTTACAGCGCTTTTACTGAGGCAAGGGAAAATT